TTCGTAAAATGTCAGATGATGCGAGTATCATCAATACTTAAGACTGTTGAAATTACAAGTGGGATCCCTGGTACCTTAACGTGTTATTTGATACGCTGAGATATTTGAATCAATATTGGTGGACCCAGCTACATCGGTGAAGCATCTGAGGTGAGGCCCAGACTTACCTGCCTCTATCCTTCTCCTCTAGGGGCTCGTGGGGCACCTCGTTAAGCCGATACATCCCTACACGTTCCTGCTGTACAAACTACGTCCAGCTCTCATGGTACGGAAAGGGCCAGTGATTACGCCGCGCTGTATTGTCGTCTGCTTTAGGCGGGGATTAGATTTGTAATTTCGACAAGTCTATTGAACGAGTTACGAGGTTGAAAAGAGGCTCGCATATTTTCCGCCTCTGTGATTATTACCTATGTAACAGTTTGGTAAACAGTCATCGACGATAATCTACCAGGTCGGCAGGCGAGCAGACGACAGTTTCTTTCCAACGGGGGCCATTTCAAAAGTGCTTAGTTTACTACATGCCAAGTGGATTCTTTGACCTGTCTGGGAACTTTACCTTTACCTTAGCCAAATGGCTTCCATGACCCAACCAGGGACTATAGTTCCATAGCCTAATGGATACTTTACCCAATGTTCCACGTGTGGCAGCTTTCGATCAATTAGCATCATGGATACTTTGACCTCTGTTCCCCGTCTTGCGATCATAGCACCGATTGACCATGGCTAAAATACCTTGTTATCACACGCGGAGGCCGTCACTGAACACGTCTTCTCGAAACGACCCCCAGGTTGAGTTTATCTCGCAAGAGTTCGTTCAAATCATTTATCAAATCTTATCGATGTTAACTGAAAAGATTTTCATAAAGCCATAAAAGTTTGAAAAGAGTTATGGCAGAATGAGGGGCGCCGTCACAGAGTGCAGTAAGGTAGCTTGTAGTAAGGTAATGTCTGGCGTCACGTGGGTGTTGGGGGTACGGGGGTAGGTAGGTTTTTAGGTTATGGGGGTACGTGAGTGTTTAGGGTATGGGGGTACGTGGGTGTTGGGGGTATAGGGGTACGTACGTGTTTAGGGTATGGGGTACGTGGGTGTTTAGGTTATGGGGTACGTGGGTGTTACGAGTATGGGGAGTACGGGGGGAATTGGGTGTTGGGGGTATGGGGGTAGATGGGTATTTAGGGTATGGGGTACGTGGGTGTTTAGGTTATTTGGTTACGTGGGTATTTAGGGTAATGGGGTACGCGGGTGTTGGGGGTATGGGGGTACGTACGTGTTTAGGGTATGGGGGTACCTTATACACCGTCCTGGCAGCGCAGCTTATAGCAATCATGAATAAACAGTGTCCGACCCGGTGGAGACAAACCGATTTGGGAAAGGTCCGACAGACAGACAAACACCAGTGACACCTGTACAGAGTAGTTCACCACACCTCCTAACACCTCCTAACAACACCATCTGTCACCTCTGACACGACACGACACTCACATCTGATGCTGCGGGTGGTTTCAGTGTAAGCAGATGATGCTACGCAATGGTGATGGTGCCCGTGAGATCAGAAGTGTCAGCAAAGGTGGCGTATTGAGAGGCAGTCTATATCTTTAGTTTGTTTGTTTGTTGTTTAACGACGCACTCAGCAATATTCCAGCTATATGACGGCGGTCTGTAAATAATCGAGTCTGGGCCAGACAATCCAGTGATTGGCATCATAAGCCTCGATCCACGCAATTGGGATACGATGACATGCATCAACCAAGTCATCGAGTCTGACCACCCGATCCCGTTAGTCGCCTCTTACAGCAAGCATCATCGCCGTTTACGACAAGCATGGGTTGCTGAAGACCTATTCTACCCCAGATCTTCACGGGTTCGTAGGACTGGAAGGTGCCCAATGTAGCAGAGGCCGTCTGTAGTACGGGAAGGTGTCTTTTGTAGTAGAGGTCGTCTGTAGTATGGGATGGTGTCCAATGTAGTAGAGGCCATCTGTCGTACGGGAAGGTGTCCAATATAGCAGCGGCCGTCTGTAGTACGGGAAGGTGTCCTATGTAGACGAGGCCGTCTGTAGTACGGGAAGGTGTCCTATGTAGTAGAGGCCGTCTGTAGTACGGGAAGGTGTCCAATGTAGTAGAGGTCGTCTGTGGTACGGGTAGGTGTCCAGTGTAGTAGAGGCCGTCTGTAGCACGGGAAGGTGTCCAATGTAGAAGAGGCCGTCTTTAGTATGGGAAGGTGTCCAATGTAGTAGCGGCCGTCTGTAGTACGGGTAGGTGTCCAATGTAGTAGAGGCCGTCTGTAGTACGGGAAGGTGTCCAAAAGTAGAGGCCGTCTGTAGTACGGGAAGGTGTCCAATTTATTAGAGGCCGTCTGTAGTACGGGTAGGTGTCCAATGTAGTAGAGGCCGTCTGTAGTACGGGAAGGTGTCCAATTTATTAGAGGCCGTCTGTAGTACGGGAAGGTGTCCAATGTAGAAGAGGCCGTCTGTAGTACGGGTAGGTGTCCAATGTAGTAGAGGCCGTCTGTAGTATGGGAAGGTGTCCAATGTAGTAGAGGCCGTCTGTAGTACGGGAAGGTGTCCAATCTAGTAGAGGCCGTCTGTAGTACGGATAGAAGGCCGTTTAGTAAGTCACTCTGTATGACATGGGTAGATGGCCCGTATAGAACGGTCACTCTGTATGACACGGGTAGATGGTCCGTATAGTAGAGTCTCTCTGTATGACACGGGTAGATGGTCCGTATAGTAGAGCCTCTCTGTATGACGGGGTAGATGGTCCGTATAGTACAGTCTCTCTGTATGACACGGGTAGATGGTCCGTATAGTACAGTCTCTCTGTATGACACTGGTCGATGGTCCGTATAGAACAGTCTCTCTGTATGACACGGGTAGATGGTCCGTATAGTACAGTCTCTCTGTATGACACGGGTAGATGGTCCGTATAGAACAGTCTCTCTGTATGACACGGGTAGATGGTCCGTATAGAACAGTCTCTCTGTATGACACGGGTAGATGGTCCGTATTGTACAGTCTCTCTGTATGACACGGGTAGATGGTCCGTATAGTACAGTCTCTCTGTATGACACTGGTAGATGGTCCGTATAGAACAGTCTCTCAGTATGACACGGGTAGATGGTCCGTATAGTACAGTCTCTCTGTATGACACTGGTAGATGGTCTGTATAGAACAGTCTCTCTGTATGACACGGGTAGATGGTCCGTATAGAACAGTCTCTCTGTATGACACGGGTAGATGGTCCGTATAGAACAGTCTCTCTGTATGACACTGGTAGATGGCCCGTATAGACCAGCCTCTCTGTATGACACGGGTAGATGGTCCGTATAGAACAGTCTCTCTGTATGACACGGGTAGATGGTCCGTATAGTACAGTCTCTTTGTATGACACGGGTAGATGGTCCGTATAGAACAGTCTCTCTGTATGACACGGGTAGATGGTCCGTATAGTACAGTCTCTCTGTATGACACGGGTAGAAGGCCGTATAGTACAGTCTCGCTGTATGACACGGGTAGATGGTCCGTATAGTACAGTCTCTCTGTATGACACGGGTAGATTGTCCGTATAGAACAGTCTCTCTGTATGACACGGGTACATGGTCCGCATAGTACAGTCTCTCTGTATGACACGGGTAGATGGTCCGTATAGTACAGTCTCTCTGTTCTGACACGGGTAGATGGTCCGTATAGAACAGTCTCTCTGTATGACACGGGTAGATGGTCCGTATAGTACAGTCTCTCAGTATGACACGGGTAGATGGTCCGTATAGAACAGTCTCTCTGTATGACACGGGTAGAAGGCCGGCCATATAGTACAGTCTCTCTGTATGACACGGGTAGATGGTCCGTATAGAACAGTCTCTCTGTATGACACGGGTAGAAGGCCATATAGTACAGTCTCTCTGTATGACACGGGTAGAAGGCCATATAGTACAGTCTCTCTGTATGACACGGGTAGATGGTCCGTATAGAACAGTCTCTCTGTATGACACGGGTAGAAGGCCATATAGTACAGTCTCTCTGTATGACACGGGTAGAAGGCCATATAGTACAGTCTCTCTGTATCACACGGGTAGAAGGCCGTATAGTACGGTCTCTCTGTATGACACGGGTAGATGGTCCTTATAGCACAGTCTCTCTGTATGACACGGGTAGAAGGCCATATAGTACAGTCTCTCTGTATGACACGGGTAGATGGTCCGTATAGAACAGTCTCTCTGTATGACACGGGTAGAAGGCCATATAGTACAGTCTCTCTGTATGACACGGGTAGAAGGCCATATAGTACAGTCTCTCTGTATCACACGGGTAGAAGGCCGTATAGTACGGTCTCTCTGTATGACACGGGTAGATGGTCCGTATAGCACAGTCTCTCTGTATGACACGGGTAGAAGGCCATATAGTACAGTCTCTCTGTATGACACGGGTAGAAGGCCATATAGTACAGTCTCTCTGTATGACACGGGTAGATGGTCCGTATAGAACGGGAACTTGAAATACGTGTACCTCTAACAAACCAATATGTCAATCTTTGCCAGCAGGAGGTCGGGAGGTACACTGAAGCTTGTCTGTCACTGCTAAAAATGATGGAATGATCCTGGAAACGGAGCATCGGCCTGGGAACCGATATCTCACGCACCCCATCATCCCTCACCTGATGTTCACCGGATGAGAAGTAACCCTGAAATCTCGTTACCAACAATAATGAAGTTATTTTCCATGAAACCCTCTCAGGTGAGGTGAAATTGGGTTGAACGTCGCGTGTGTGTGCTGCTTGTACTAGTCCGGACCCTCTCAAGTCTTTTTCTCCAACTTCTTGACTTTTTTCGAGGGGATAAGTACAATATACAACCATAAGGCTCCATGTGAACAGCCGAAGACTCGGTTCGAATCCCAAGGGCACGCTACATGAAACCTTTTTTTTATGTCAATCGCCGTGTTTTCCTTAAATACTAAACACGAACTCTCTCATTGTGAATATCTTCAGGTGAATTAACCTACCTGAACTCTCCAGACGTGTGCACCCCGACCACTCCATAAGCTTTAGCCCTGGGGCGGTGTCTGGTCCTGTCTAGTGGGGGGAGGGGCCGAGGCCGGGGGTAGGTTCCGGCGGTCCTGTGGGTACCATGGCGGTACCGCTGCAGGGTCAGGTCGATGGTCGTCGGTGTTCTGGTCAGGTCCTGGAACAGGTCCTCGGGGATGACGATGTATCGCTCAGAGAGCGGTCCGACAAAGGTGTTCCGATCCTGGCAACGTCTCATGATGTCCTATGGTATAAAAACTCGTTATCGAATATATATAAATTGTCAATGCAAGAGAATAAGCAGCCAAGATTCTTTGCCGAAATAGATTCCATTTGGCATAAAGAACAAACAGCTGTGGAAATTATATGAATGGACCACAGAAAATCAGTGATGACACCAGGTGTTCGCGAAAAGAAAAGGGGAAGGCTTTTGTACATGCATAATAATAAACTGCTCCAAGGCTAAACTATAGGGTGATTCTCAGCACATGTTTCCAGAGCCGTTTTTAAATGCCTTCCTTCTTTGAATATGCTATTAGGTTTACACATTAAAACGTTCGTGAACATACTCTTACCTTGATGGCGACGTGTCCAAGTCGATATGTTCACCTGAACATGCACATGTAGTTCATGTCGAAATACTCTTTGTAAAACACGGTTCGAAAGTTGTTCCTTTGAGACAGATAATAGAAAACTCCATTTCAAAACATATTCCGTGGTGTTACCGTCACTGTCCTTCACTTCCGGTTTCCTCCGGATACGCTGAAAGAACGTGTTTCTCCTAGCGACAGCCTGTTTGTATCTGGCAAGAACGTGTTCCTCCCACCGACAGCCTGTTTGTATCTGGCAAGAACGTGTTCTTTCTAACGACAGCCTGTTTGTATCTGACAAGAACATGTTCCTCCTAGCGACAGGCTGTTTGTATCTGACAAGAACATGTTCCTCCTAGCGACAGGCTGTTTGTATCTGGCAAGAACGTGTTCCTTCTAACGACAGCCTGTTTGTATCTGACAAGAACATGTTCCTCCTAGCGACAGGCTGTTTGTATCTGACAAGAACATGTTCCTCCTAGCGACAGGCTGTTTGTATCTGGCAAGAACGTGTTCCTCCTAAAGACAGCGTGTTGGTTTCTGGCAAGAACATGTTCCTCCTAGCGACAGGCTGTTTGTATCTGACAAGAACATGTTCCTCCTAGCGACAGGCTGTTTGTATCTGGCAAGAACGTGTTCCTCCTAAAGACAGCGTGTTGGTTTCTGGCAAGAACATGTTCCTCCTAGCGACAGGCTGTTGGTGTCTGGCAAGAACGTGTTCCTCCTAGCGATAGCCTGTTGGTGTCTGACAAGAACGTGTTTCTCCTAGCGATAGCCTGTTGGTGTCTGGCAAGAACGTGTTTCTCCTAGCGACAAGCCTGTTGGTGTCTGGCAAGAACGTGTTTCTCCTAGCGACAAGCCTGTTGATATCTGGAAACTATGGCACACCACAGGTGACCAGGCAATTCTGACCACGCACAATGTTGGTTTTTGCTGCTGGTTGCGCGGAATATGGATATCAATGGTTCTGTTTACCTGCGGTCAATAGGAGTACATGCATGTGACAGTATTACTCTCTGTCATATGCATTCAAGGGGACTGTGTTCCTCGCCATTGAGGAATGTTCAGCTGACCAGCACAGTTTATCACTCCGAGCTATGGCCGCTGTCAGCGAAACCAAAACACGTCTTTATCAAACACTCGAATACCCACACTTTGCCTGAATACCATTCAATATAAACATCCAGTTGGCAGCACACACCATCTATCATTGCCTCTCCTCAACAAGCTTCATTACAACCAGGAAGTCTTCATATTTCATGGAACACTTTATCCTGGCCCAGATCTGATTTAAAACACTGCTTTCGCCATCTCACAATTGTTACATTTTCACGTAACGCCTTCACAATCAATGTTTAAAGATGATTTCTCATTTTCTAGTTGGCTGTTGTTCACAACCCTTGCATGTGGATGGCAAACATCTCATACCGTCCACAACCCTTGCATGTGGGTGGCATAAATCTCAAGTCGTCCACAACCCTTGCACATGGATCATATCATACATACTCTGGTTTAATACCACCCTAATCTGTTGGTAATGGCCACGCCGATACTGTCGCTTTCAGTTGCATGGAATTCTTCCCTGTATCAATACCCCCTGATCAATACATATTACCTCCCCTGCGTCATAATGAGTTTCCCAGGAGAGGGGACTGTGCACCCCTTTAATACCCGTTCCCAGGCACTCCACATCTCCACGTGGACTGTTTCAATACAGGAATTATTCCGTGCATGAGCTTGTATAATTAAGCGCTGAGAACATGGTTTAGGGCAAATTTATCGTGAGAGAGTTGCGTTTTGTTTTCCAATACCTGTTGCAACGAGATGCAGAAGGTCATGAATACCAAATTACATCATCAGCGAAGAACTCGAGGTTTTCGTGCACATTAAAACCTGGTTTACTTATGGTGTGAAATCACTTAATACGGTAACAAGGTCGCAGTGACAGTTGCAACATCAGTGTGTCGCCAGAATCAGTGTTACAGTTGGCAAGCCATCGTTACTGGCATGCACCTTCACAGCACTCCCGTATCCAGATTCCCTGGTCCAAGAAATAGCTATGTAACCAGGCGGTTTGCGTCGTCAAAACAACGTATCAAGATCACCTGAATATCACACGGGGTGGTGTGAACGTCGTGGCGGTAGGGCAGTTACTGATGCCGTAATATAATATGCCGTATATAATAACCCACATCGCTTGCCAGCAGCAGCAGCAGCAACGACAGTGGCATTGCAGCTCGCCTGGACACAGCACCAGGTGTCTTCTCAACGTGCCTACAGTCTCAAATTGCCTACAGTCTCAAAGCGCCTTCAGTCTCAACGTGCCTACACGTTTGACAGGCACTTGCCAAAATCTAGTTTGTACTTTTCAGGCTGATGTCAGTAAAAGTGATAGACATTGACACATTTTACTCAGTAAAATGGGATAACACTGTCTTATAGACACTAGTGCTTCTGGGTTTGAGTTCCATCCCGGATTCGAACCCACACTGAGGCACCTACTCCCCAGCTCATAAAGTTAGCGATCTAACCCACTCAGCCACCAAGGCTTCCACAAGAAATGAAAGTCTGACACTTTGTGAAGCCCTCTGATAAGTGGACATTGGCACGGCTCCCATGGCCGAAAGATATGAGCACATTGCCTTTTAGAAAGTGGTCATATGTAACAAATGTTTGTACTTTAATAGTACTATAACCTGTACTTTACTAAGAAAGTGTTATCCCAAATATTACATGTGTTACATCTGACCATTTGCTAAATGGCATCATGTGTTTTCAGTCAAATGTTGACGCATGGATCCTGAAAATACGTGTACACAGTCCTATGTACTAACACCCCTACTCAGGTTAAGACGCACTGCCAGTTTATCTAGGACTGGGATCCGTCTCCGTCTGGTGTGCTGGAACAATAGTGGATTAAAACGTAAATTGCATTGATCAAAATAGTTAACTGCTGTGATTGGTTGTGTATTATTTGTCGTCGGATGTAGGGTGTTGCTCGGGTGTAGCCTGGGCGTAGGTTGTCTCCCGGGGCTTGGCTGTAACGATTCAGGGGTCTATTTAGAGGGTATTCGGAACCCAGCTGTGCGGTACGCGGGACGCATATTCATCTTTTCAAAATATATAATTGTGTACGTAAATAAATCCTTTATATATCTTATTTTTTCGATATTTCTTCACTAATGGAACTTCAAATGTTAGGCACCCCACCCTCACAGAAAAGGTTTAATCATTTACCGATGGAGGTCTCAAATCTTCCTGACAGTGTTTTCTAGTGTCATTAGGTTGGAGCTCTCCATATCGACCCTAGATCCTGCTATCGCTGCTGCCATGGAATCCTCGTTAGTGCAGGGGATTGATTACGTGACACTAACATCGCCCTTGGGAAGGCCATGTCTCATCCAGACTGTCGTGATGAATAGCTGTAATATTTCTGTTTACGTCGTAACACAACATGCAATCATTACATTCACAAAAGGAGGATTAGATGGTGAAAATGGTTCCTAAAACACGCAGCTCCCACCAACTGCACGCGAGAGGCTTGTCTTACTTATATCTCACTGTATACATATTAATATGTTATTACATGATGTTCACTACTTAGAATAAGGGTGTATTTAAAGTAAAGAACTGAAACATTGTTCAGGTCCAACTGTTATTCCCCCATCTGAACTTCACACTCGAGCATTAGGGTATTAAGTATGGATGAAGAGACGCTAAAAAATCGCGTGTTCCATGACAATATTACACTGGGAGTGCATATCCTATAATTACATTCGTGCAACAGTCCGTGTGTGTCATTGGGCAGGAATGTAACATGAGTGGTTTAACTTGAAGAGATGTAACAAATATTCTTGGTAATTCCACACATAATTCCACTTACCTGTGTTATAATATATCCTTTATTGAGGTCTCGTGTATTAGCTTCGACTTGTCTTAAAGACAATGGCATTACGGGACTGGGTTGCAGATGGATGGGTGTTGAGCACGCTCATCTCGAAGACAAAATGGGTTTGATTCCCAAACACTTGTGAAACTCATCTCCTGATAATCATGTGACCTCCGCCCTGCTCCAATACATAACCTGTCACTAAATGTAATACGTCTGTGGGCTGACACAATCAGGGTTAATGTAATACGTCTGTAGGCTGACACAGTCAGGGTTAATGTAATACGTCTGTAGGCTGACACAGTCAGGGTTAATGTAATACGTCTGTAGGCTGACACAATCAGGGTTAATGTAATACGTCTGTAGGCTGCCACAGTCAGGGTTAATGTAATACGTCTGTAGGCTGACAGTCAGGGTTAATGTAATACGTCTGTAGGCTGACACAGTCAGGGTTAATGTAATACGTCTGTAGGCTGACACAGTCAGGGTTAATGAAATACGTCTGTAGGCTGACACAATCAGCGTTAATGTAATACGTCAGTAGGCTGACACAGTCAGGGTTAATGTAATACGTCTGTAGGCTGACAGTCAGGGTTAATGTAATACGTCTGTAGGCTGACACAGTCAGGGTTAATGTAATACGTCTGTAGGCTGACACAGTCAGGGTTAATGAAATACGTCTGTAGGCTGACACAATCAGCGTTAATGTAATACGTCAGTAGGCTGACACAGTCAGGGTTAATGTAATACGTCTGTAGGCTGACACAGTCAGGGTTAATATAAAACGTCTGTAGGCTGACACAGTCAGGGTTAATGTAATACGCCTGTAGGCTGACACAATCAGCGTTAATGTAATACGTATGTAGGCTGACACAATCAGGGTTAATGTAACACGTCTGTAGGCTGACACAATCAGGGTTAATGTAACACGTTTGTAGGCTGACACAGTCAGCGTTAATGTAATACGTCTGTAGGCTGACACAGTCAGGGTTAATGTAATACGTCTGTAGGCTGACAGTCAGGGTTAATGTAATACGTCTGTAGGCTGACACAGAGTGGGTTAATGTAATACGTCTGTAGGCTGACACAGTCAGGGTTAATGAAATACGTCTGTAGGCTGACACAATCAGCGTTAATGTAACACGTTTGTAGGCTGACACAGTCAGCGTTAATGTAATACGTCTGTAGGCTGACACAGTCAGGGTTAATATAAAACGTCTGTAGGCTGACAGTCAGGGTTAATGTAATACGTCTGTAGGCTGACACAGAGTGGGTTAATGTAATACGCCTGTAGGCTGACACAGTAGGCGTTAATGAAATACGTCTGTAGGCTGACACAAAGTGGGTTAATGTAATACGCCTGTAGGCTGACACAGTCAGCGATAATGTAATACGTCTGTAGGCTGACACAGTAGGCGTTAATGAAATACGTCTGTAGGCTGACACAAAGTGGGTTAATGTAATACGCCTGTAGGCTGACACAAACTGGGTTATTAATTTAATAGTGTGTCAATACTTTTCAATCATTTCAATTCGAGGCGAATTCAATACATCATTGTCGCTACGTCTTTGAGTCCCCCCTCCGCGTTGTGAAGCGTTCAATGTCGCTCCTCTCGACCCACTACGGAGAGGCACTAGAAGGTTATTCTGTGTATCCCACAGCCATGGACAGGTTTACTATGCAACACCGAACAACAGGCTGGTCACATGACTGAACGATATCGATCAGTTCCACACGCAACGATGGCTGCTTCCTACTGTCAAGTGAGTAAAACATTCTATATGACATAATCATCCACTTACATGCTCAATCAAACCATGTAATAACAGGCCTTATCTCACGTGGGTGACGTGGTTGGGTCGTCTGCTGTGGGGTTTGTCGTCTGCTTTTGATGTACAAGTGAGACAGAAAGGGTGATCACTGAGGAGATTTGGTTGCTAATGTAAACAATGTTTGGATAATGCGGAAACAAGGCCCTAAAATAACCACTGACAGTTGACATTCTCCCTGTACGTATTTAACGCAGATTTCTGATACAATATATCGGGATTACACCTGACCTGATACTCGTGCGCCGCTAATATACGCGTTAATCCTTGCACAATATCACATCAGTAACCACGGAGGAATGCGCACAGCGATCACGCAGTTGTCTCCCTTTTATCCGATTTATGCATCATTGCTCACACTTTAGAACGCCCTTTTCCAAGTATAGAGTTTCAACTTCTGTTAAATTTTGACACTGTTCAGCGTTAGGATATAATCTTTATGTGTATATGTATATACTGGGAGGAAGTCTTTAAGAAGCAATGTCCTCAATTGAAATTGGCAAGCAACACCTGTCGTCAACACAACGACAATGATACAGTTTCTACCCACCCTCTTCCTCAACGAATTTTATGTTATCAGTGACCCTTCCATGGAACAATTCATGTCTCTGACAATTAACATAATATTTAAAAATATGGATGTAGATTCTAGGTCGATAAAAACATCTATATATATTTTTCATCTCTACCACTACCATCCAATCATGTAGATGTAAACCTGCAGCTGGAGTAGATGTAGGGGATGCAGTTCAAGACGTTGCTGTATCCACGTGTTCATTTCGCTTCAGGGTACAATCCGAGGGACGGACCCCGCCTCCTTCAACTCCGAGGATGCAGCTAGCCGCCTCCGTAAGGCCATGAAGGGACTGGGTGAGATTTATCGCATATACTGACGGCGGAAAATAAGGAACACGAGGCAATATTGTAGAGTGAGTGAGTTAAAATTTAACGTCGCATCAGCATTATTCCAGCCATATAGCGACCAATATTGCAGAAGATGTATCAAGATGTCAAGATATGTGCTTTGTATATCACATCGCCACATGGAAATATCGGGTGTGTTCAACACCTGACTAAAGAACACCAGGCGCTCTTGTGTAACACACAGAATATTTTGTCACAACAAGCTTCGCTCGACAGAGCCGTTCCCTGAGTTCATTCACCAGTCCAAAGCCATACGTTTGTGCATGTACTAATTCTAAATGTTGGTGTCCCTAATGGTATGAAATGACCTGGTATTTCCACAATGAGTAAATTTAACACTGCGTCCAACCTTCATCCCAAAATACAACACGTGGTGCGTTGTGTGTAGTGCCACGTGACAGCCTTACGTTCACCATTGAGGATCCGGGCTACACTAGGTCTTTAGCAACCCATTCTTGTCGTAAGAGGCGACTAACGGGATCGGGTGGTCAGCGGACTTAGTTGATGCATGTCATCCAATCCCAATTGCATGGGTCGATGCTCATGGTATCAAGCACTGGATTATCTGGTCGAGACTCGATTATTGACAGACCGCCGTCATCTAGCTGGAATATTGCTGATATGCGGCGTTAGACAACAAACAATACTTCGTGTACTGGACACCCATGTCCGTCCACACGTAAGACCACTTCAGTTTTCTTTATTGTTCGTCGGAATTGTTTTTGGTTAGTTAATGCAGAGACCATATATCGTATATAGATTCTGGTTTATGAGTAGGTTAAAATAGCCTGTGAACGCCACAACTACGAAGTTTAACTCAAACCGTGTTTAACTCTTACCGTTTAGGTCAAAAGGTATATATGATACATTCATCTCACGTTCAAAAACACGTTTTAACTTTTCCATTTGCATGATTGGGAAGCCATTTATATATAAATAATAAAAAAATTTTTTTGTTGCCATTCCAAAAATAAATCGTCAACAAAACAGTCAAATATTTTTAGCGAACTTAAATCTTTATAGCTCATATTCCAGCAGTTTAACGGCGGGGAAGTACAAAAATGGGCTTCACGCATTGTACCCATGTGAGGAATTACACCTGGGTCTTCTGCCTGACAAGCGAACGCTTTAATAACTACTTGGCTACCCATCAGTCCAGTAGAGTATGGCAACACAATACTAAGTCATTGAGCTGCCATCACATGGTTATATTTCCTTACACTAAAACAGCATGAGATTCATTGCGTGAGTGAGTTGGGTTGTTGCTATGATAATTTTTTTGACGCAGGTAGTAGATCTATATGTCACTTTTGTCAAACCCACGAACACGAATATTGTGTTGACAGACTCAAATGGGATCCCTACATAGGAGTCAAACCCACCGCCGTCAGATACTGGCGGGAAAGGGACGCAACTTGAGCCCACTGCCCTAACAAAGGGACCTGTGAAGATCCGGGGTAGAATAGGTCTTCAGCAACCCATGCTATGCGACTATGCTTGTCCTAAGAGGCGACTAACGGGATCGGGTATCAGGCTCGCTGACTTGGTTGATGCATGTGATCAATCCCAATCGCGTGGATCGATGCGCATGATGTCAATCACTGAAATGTCTGGTCCAGACTCAATTATTTACAGATCGCCGTCATATATCTTGAATATTGCTGAGTGCGGCGTTAAACAACAAAGAAACAGGCAGTAAAGGGATGCAACTCTTTACATTGAGCCAACCGCCGTCAGTGGCGGTAAAGGGACGCAACTCTTCACATTGAGTTACGGCGCCTCTGACCACTTAAGAAACATCCTTAAAATGATGCATGGCATATGCTTCTTGACCCTTCCCTCTCCATGCATTGGCCTGCCGGTGAACATGGAGACGTGGTTGTTGCAGGCACGGACGAGCACCAGATCATCCGGGTTCTCACGGAACACAATAACGCCCAGCGGCAGGAGATCAAAGACAAGTTCAAGACATGTTTCGGCAGGGTACGTACTTTTATTCTGTAGGCACGGAGTACAGACGTTGGGCAATGAATCCACGCCTCGTATGTGTGTAAAGCAATACAAAACATGAGTGTGAAAAAGTATTAAAACTGTCTTACAATGTGCAGGTCTGCCTTCAAGGGCGTAGACAGCTCTACAGCGGTGTGCATGACTGTGTATAGCAGTACGTTTACTTCCGTGTTATAGGAGAAACGAATGACGGGTTTTAATTTGCTGAATTGACGGAATGATATATCTTCTGAACTAACTGACATTTCATAAAAACACAACGCAAGGAGTATGTGTCAATAAAATATGTTTAAAGGGTACTCCAGTCGTTCCAGGATACCATGTCGTTTTAAATTCAGAGCCATGTTATACTAGCCTGGACATCCATTACTCTGTGAGCACTGTTGTAGATACTTTCATGTGTTTAGACCCTACACATGTTTAGATAGAACACACCAAATGTAAATTCCGATTAGTATTTAAACACATTCCTACACATTTGTACAGTGTATTGTCTGCGAACTAAATTATTATTTACTGAAACAGTTCTCTGTTTTTCAAGGATCTGATTGAGGACCTGAAGTCGGAGTTGGCGGGTCACTTCGAGTCACTCTGCCTCTATCTGTTGATGCCGGCAAGGTACTTCGATGCGTTCTGTCTGAAGAACGCCATGAAGGTAGGTGACTAGTTGACTGCGTAACACCCTAGTGTTGTGTAACATGAATGTCTGAAGAACGCTGGGTTACTCAGAACTGACTTTGATGATGAGGATGGCGTTGTTTCAGAGACTCGGCACCAAGGAGTCTCACCTGATCGACATCCTGGTGTCCAGGTCCAACATGGAGATCCAGGACATCAAGGCTGTCTACAAAGGTGAGAAGACAATAGAAACAGATGCTGGGCAGACGATACCACAGATGTAGACACAGACTGTCTGTAATCTTGTACATACGATACCACAGATGTAGACACAGACTGTCTGTAGTCTTGTACATACGATACCACAGATGTAGACACACTGTCTGTAATCTTGTACATACGATACCACAGATGTAGACACAGACTGTCTGTAATCTTGTACATACGATACCACAGATGTAGACACAGACTGTCTGTAATCTTGTACATACGATACCACAGATGTAGACACAGACTGTCTGTAATCTTGTACATACGATACCACAGATGTAGACACAGACTGTCTGTAATCTTGTACATACGATACCACAGATGTAGACACAGGCTGTCTGTAATCTTGTACATACGATACCACAGATGTAGACACAGACTGTCTGTAATCTTGTACATACGATACCACAGATGAAGACATAGACTGTCTGTAATCTTGTACATACGATACCACAGATGTAGACACACTGTCTGTAATCTTGTACATACGATACCACAGATGTAGACACACTGTCTGTAATCTTGTACATACGATACCACAGATGTAGACACAGGCTGTCTGTAATCTTGTACATACGATACCACAGATGTAGACACAGACTGTCTGTAATCTTGTACATACGATACCACAGATGAAGACACAGACTGTCTGTAATCTTGTACATACGATACCACAGATGTAGACACAGACTGTCTGTAGTCTTGTACATACGATACCACAGATGTAGACACAGACTGTCTGTAATCTTGTACATACGATACCACAGATGTAGACACAGACTGTCTGTAATCTTGTACATACGATACCACAGATGTAGACACAGACTGTCTGTAATCTTGTACGTACCATACCACAGATGTAGACACAGACTGTCTGTAATCTTGTACATACGATACCACAGATGTAGACACAGACTGTCTGTAATCTTGTACATACGATACAACAGATGTAGACACAGACTGTCTGTAGTCTTGTACATACGATACCACAGATGTAGACACAGACTGTCTGTAGTCTTGTACATACGATACCACAGATGTAGACACAGGCTGTCTGTAATCTTGTACATACGATACCACAGATGTAGACACAGACTGTCTGTAATCTTGTACATACGATACCACAGATGTAGACACAGACTGTCTGTAGTCTTGTACATACGATACCACAGATGTTGACACAGACTGTCTGTAATCTTGTACATACGATACCACAGATGTAGACACAGACTGTCTGTAATATTGTACATACGATACCACAGATGTAGACACAGACTGTCTGTAGTCTTGTACATACGATACCACAGATGTAGACACAGGCTGTCTGTAACCTTGTTCATACGATACCACAGATGTAGACACAGACTGTCTGTAATCTTGTACATACGATACCACAGATGTAGACACAGACTGTCTGTAATCTTGTACACACGATACCACAGATGTAGACACACTGTTTGTAATCTTGTACATACGATACCACATATGTAGACACAGACTGTCTGTAATCGTGTACATACGATACCACAGATGTAGACACAGACTGTCTGTAGTCTTGTACATACGATACCACAGATGTAGACACAGACTGTCTGTAGTCTTGTACATACGATACCACAGATGTAGACACAGACTGTCTGTAATCTTGTACATACGATACCACAGATGTAGACACAGACTGTCTGTAATCTTGTACATACGATACCACATATGTAGACACAGGCTGTCTGTAATCTTGTACATACGATACCACAGATGTAGACACAGACTGTCTGTAATCTTGTACATACGATACCACAGATGTAGACACACTGTCTGTAATCTTGTACATACGATACCACAGATGTAGACACAGACTGTCTGTAATCTTGTACATACGATACCACAGATGTAGACACACTGTCTGTAATCTTGTACATACGATACCACAGATGTAGACACAGGCTGTCTGTAATCTTGTACATACGATACCACAGATGTAGACACACTGTATGTAATATTGTACATACGATACCACAGATGTAGACACACTGTCTGTAATCTTGTACATACGATACCACAGATGAAGACACAGACTGTCTGTAGTCTTGTACATACGATACCACAGATGTAGACATAGACTGTCTGTAATCTTGTACATACGATACCACAGATGTAGACACAGACTGTCTGTAGTCTTGTACATACGATACCACAGATGTAGACACACTGTCTGTAATCTTGTACATACGATACCACAGATGTAGACACAGACTGTCTGTAATCTTGTACATACGATACCACAGATGTAGACACACTGTCTGTAATCTTGTACATACGATACCACAGATGTAGACACACTGTCTGTAATCTTGTACATACGATACCACAGATGAAGACACAGACTGTCTGTAGTCTTGTACATACGATACCACAGATGTAGACATAGACTGTCTGTAATCTTGTACATACGATACCACAGATGTAGACACAGACTGTCTGTAGTCTTGTACATACGATACCACAGATGTAGACACACTGTCTGTAATCTTATACATACGATACCACAGATGTAGACACAGACTGTCTGTAGTCTTGTACATACGATACCACAGATGTAGACACAGACTGTCTGTAGTCTTGTACATACGATACCACAGATGTAGACACAGACTGTCTGTAATCATGTACATACGATACCACAGATGTAGACACAGACTGTCTGTAATCTTGTACATACGATACCACAGATGTAGACACACTGTCTGTAATCTTGTACATACGATACCACAGATGTAGACACAGACTGTCTGTAATCTTGTACATACCATACCACAGATGTAGACACAGGCTGTCTGTAATCTTGTACATACGATACCACAGATGTAGACACACTGTCTGCAATCTTGTACATACGATACCACAGATGTAGACACAGACTGTCTGTAATCTTGTACATACGATACCACAGATGTAGACACACTGTCTGTAATCTTGTACATACGATACCACAGATGTAGACACAGACTGTCTGAAATCTTGTACATACGATACCACAGATGTAGACACACTGTCTGTAATCTTGTACATACGATACCACAGATGTAGAAACAGACTGTCTGTAATCTTGTACATACGATACCACAGATGTAGACACAGACTGTCTGTAGTCTCGTACATACGATACCACAGATGTAGACACACTGTCTGTAATCTTGTACATACGATACCACAGATGTAGACACAGACTGTCTGTAATCTTGTACATACAATACCACAGATGTAGACACAGACTGTCTGTAATCTTGTACATACGATACCACAGATGTAGACACACTGTCTGTAATCTTGTTCATACGATACCACAGATGTAGACACAGGCTGTCTGTAATCTTGTACATACGATACCACAGATGTAGACACAGACTGTCTGTAATCTTGTACATACGATACCACAGATGTAGACACACTGTCTGTAATCTTGTACATACGATACCACAGATCAGATACCGTGATATGGTCTCTGCACAGATGTAAACGAAAGCCTGCCTGAAATCTTGTACATACAATATAGATTGGTGGACTGGAATTCTCTAAATGGGCTTTTTTCAAAAACCATCTCCACCACATATGTCCTGCAGTGTGTATACGTTCGTCTGTCTTCATCACCGTAGCGTCATGTCCCCTGCTTCGCAGAGTTGTTCAAGTCCGACCTGGAAGACGACATCAAGTCGGAGGTGTCAGGTGACTTCCAGCGCGTGCTGGTGGGTCTCGTGCAAGGCGGGAGATCGGAGGAGCAGGCGGTGGATGACGAGGCAGCCAAGGCCGACATGAGGGAGGTGTATAACGTGAGCATCTGCATGTCAAGGTCGACATGGGGCGGTGTATAACGTGGATATCTGCATGTCAAGGTCGCGACATGGGGTGGTGTATAACGTGAATATCTGCTTGTCAAGGTCGACATGGGGTGGTGTATAACGTGGGTATCTGCATGTCAAGGTCGACATGGGGTGGTGTATAACGTGAATATCTGCTTGTCAAGGTCGACATGGGGAGGTGCATAACGTGAGTATATGCATGTAAAGGTCGACATGGGGAGGTGTATAACGTCGGTATCTGCATGTCAAGGTCGACATGAGGTGGTGTATAACATGAGTATCTGCATGTCAAGGTCGACACGGGGTGGTGTATAACGTGAGTATCTGCATGTCAAGGTCGACATAGGGTGGTGTATAACGTGAATATCTGCATGTCAAGGTCGACATGGGGAGGTGTATAACGTGGGTATCTGCATGTCAAGGTCGACATGAGGTGGTGTATAACATGAGTATCTCCATGTCAAGGTCGACATGGGGAGGTGTATAACGTGAATATCTGCTTGTCGAAGGCCGACATGATGTATAACGTGAATATCTGCGTGTCATGTCCAAGTGATGGTCACATTCCAGGTGTGAAGAAAGGATGATGTACAAAGATGATATTCGAAGATGAATTCCTGAAATCGAATGATTTGGGTTTTGTTTCTTTCACGCCATTATGAAAATTAATAACTCCGTTTTACATTGTGTGTTTCTGTTTTACGGTGTGTTTTATAGTGTGTGTTTTACAGAGTACGTTTTACGCTGTTTTACAGTGTGTTTTATGGTGTGTGTTTTACAGTGTGTGTTTTATGAAATATGTTGTACGGTGTGTGCGTTTTATGGTGGATGTTTTAGTTTGTAATTACAGTGTGTTTTATGAAATGTTTTAACGTGTGTGTTTTACGGTGTATCTTTCAAGGTATGTGTTTTATGGTGTTTGTTTTACAGTGTGTGTGTGTGTTTTATGAAATGTTTTACGGTGTTTGTTTTACTGAATGTTTTACAGTGTGTGTTCTAAGGTGTATGTTTTACAGTGTGTGATTACGATGTGTTTTATGAAATGTGTTACCGTGTGTGTTTTACGGTGAGTTTTGCAGTGTGTGTTTTATGGTGTATGTTTTATAGTGTGTGATTACGATGTGTTTTACGGTGTGTTATACAGTGTGTTTTATGGCGTGTGTCTTACGGTCAGTGTTTTATGCTCTATGTTTTACTGTGTTTTTTACAGTGTGATCACAGTGTGTTTTATGAAATGTTTTACCGTGTGTGTTTTACGGGTGAGTTTTTCGGTGTGTGTTTTACGGTGTATGTTTTACGTGAGTTTTAGTATTCCAGCTGTACGCAAGATTGGATGTGCTATGCTTGATATAACGATGTTCCCAGGGGGGCGAGGGGCTGCGTTTCTCCACGGACGAGGATGTCTTCAACAAGGTGCTGGTGACACGCAGCATCCCTCATCTCAGGAAGGTCTTCGAGCTCTACAAGGAGTACGCCAGCAAGGATATAGAGGGCGCCATCATCGGCGAGATGAGCGGCGATACACAGAAAGCTTTCCTGGCAATAGGTGGGTCAATACACATTGCTAGATGCCACCGCACACGCACACACGCTTTATAAATATTTCATTATAGGAATGAGCAATAATGAGTGAGTGGGTGAGTGAGTGAGTGAGTGAGTGAGTGAGTGAGTTTGGTTCAACGCTGCTTTGAACAGTATTTCAGTTCTATCTCAACCTCGTTTATGAGGAACGCCCAGAGTGATGCAGGTCTTGGTTGAAACCCTCGAGCATGGATTTGGGGCTGACTGTGCTAGGAACACAATGAAGGCGAATCTGGCACTGAACTCATGATCCATGGTTTCTGGCATGTAGGAGGGACGCAACTCTGCACAGCGAATCACTGCGTCTTTGACACGGCCAGTCTTGACCCCGGGGCAGTGAGATAAAATTAATATGTTGTTGTAATAAGTGTGTTAATCTTCCACAATGTGAGCTGACAATATTTATTCCCAGTGCATTACGTGAAGGACCCCTTGAAGTTCTTCGCCAAATGTCTGTTTGACAGTATGGACGGGGCGGGGACGGATGACGAGCGTCTGATGCAGCTGGTTGTGTCCCACTCTGAGGTACGTGGGGTGGGGGAGGGTGGGGAGGGCGTCTTATGCACGGGTAGTGTCCCACTCTGAGGTACGTGGGGTGGGGGAGGGTGGGGAGGGCGTCTTATGCACGGGTAGTGTCCCACTCTGAGGTACGTGGGGTGGGGGAGGGTGGGGGAGGGTGGGGAGAGCGTCTTATGCACGGGTAGTGTCCCACCGGTAGGTACGTGAAGAATGGATCGGGCGTGGGTTGGTTGGTTGGTTGGTTGGTTTGTTGTTTAACGCCGCACTCAGCAATATTCCAGCTATATGACGGCGGTCTGTAAATAATCGAGTCTGGATCAGACAATCCAGTGATTAATATCATGAGCATCGATCCACGCAATTGGGACACGATGACATACATCAACCAAGTCAGTGAGCCTGACCACCTGATCCCGTTAGTCGCCTTTTATGACAAGCATAGTCACCTTTTACGGCAAGCATGGGTTTCTGAAGACATATTCTACCCCGGAATCTTCACGGGTCAGATCGGGCGTAGGGGGAGTGGTGACAGGTTAGGGTGTTTTGAAAACGGGACATAGTGGGTTTGCAGTGAGGGAGAGGGTGTTCCATCTGTGTCACGGGGGCTGAGAATACTGGAGACTCAGCTGAAGGCATACAGGTGACAGCATGAACAATGAACCACCCCGTCGCGTCGTCCCATGAACAGCCAGGATACACAGTGTCACCCCGTCACCATTTAGCTGCCGTGTACAACAGACACGTGACACAGTTGGCATTGGATAGCCACACAGGATAAGCGGAAGTAGGGTGGATGGAGTTAACGGAAGACCATAGTCAGTCCAACTAGTTCTATCGGAAAGTAGGATTAAAATCATTCACAGCGCTCTTAGAAAACCCAATTTATATCTACGAGTTGGTCTCAGTTTGACAAAAAGCACTACTTACAACCTCTGTAGCCCTAGACCGATCTGTTAATGGGGTGCCAACCTGCTTATCCTCTAAGAATAGGTCCCCAGCAACCTATGCTTGTCGTAAGGGGCGACCAAATAGTTCGGATGGCAGGCTCGTGACTTGTTTCCTAGGCGTCATCGTTCCTCGACAGCATGGGTCGTTGTTCCTATTCTCAATCACTGGATTGTCTGGTTCAGATTATTTACAGACCAGCATGTTTTGATGTTTAACGCCGCACTCGGCAATACTCCACCTATATGTGTTCGGTCTGTAAACAATCGAGTCTGGATCAGACAATGCAGTGATTGACCTCATGCGCATCCATCGACACATTTGGGATACCGTGACATGCATCAACCACATCGAGTCTGACCATCCGATCCTGTTAGTCGCCTCTTACTCAATATACATTTGTAATATTACCGAGTGCGGCGTTAAACAACAAACACCAAATGTTGTTGACAGGTGGATCTTCAGGATGTGGCGGAGGTCTATCAGAAGGAGTACAAGGCCACCCTGGTGGAACACATCAAGAAGGACACTTCCGGCGACTACCGCAAGCTGCTGCTCCAACTCACACAGGGCGGGGGGACCAATGGAGTGAAGGAGTCCAGTTGAAGTCAGCTTGCCGCATTATCCTGTTATCACTTCTTGTGCAGACACATGTTAATGTTCTGTCGCATTGGGCAGTGTTTGCCAGACATAGGATATGGAAGGGGGATTGTCTCAGGTCATTCTGACCTGTCCCCATGGTTACCGGTCACGTGGTGTTACGAAACATATCACACATGTATCACGTAGAATACAGAAATTAGTGACATAACATAAATTTGCCTTGTACCATGTTCCCGTTGTTTTCAGGTGAATACTTACCTTGCCTTTGCATGTGTTTGATATGCCACCTGTGGGGCAGGATACACTCATCTTTTCGCTAACGCTTGGTTGAGCATCATATACCTACCATGAAATTACGTTTATTAGAAGAAATAGGGCTTGCATTGTGACATATCACGACTATGAATTGTGATCCGAGGAAGTCCCATCCTTGGTCTGCTCAGACACTACTCAATATCCACTTATTACTGTTGGTCATTGTATTGCAGCAATTCTTCTTTACATTATTTACATACATTTTGAAGCTGTGAGAATGTTCACAAAGCCATTTCAAGCTATTAGCCACTTCTACTCCAGCCTTAGGTTGAGATTTCTGGTGTCCCTCGCCGTGATATTGCTGTAGTGTTGCTAAAAGTGGCGTAAAACCATACTCACTCACTCACTCCCTTTGGCTGAGGACACCGCTCTTTCCATGGTACCGCCGTGATATTGCTGGAATATTGCTAAAAGCGGCGTAAAACCATACTCACTCACTCACTCCCTTTGGTTGCGGACACCGCTCTTTCCATGGTCCCGCCGTTATATTGCTGGAATATTGCTAAAGGCGGTGTAAAACCATACTCACTCACTCTTTCCATTGTGTGATGGAGTCAGAATTTACTCTCACAATTGACTTTATGTCAAATGTCAAAAGATGTGAAGAACCTAAATCAGATGCATACAACATGTGACCAAGTCGGACCTAATGGAAGCCTGGATTGTTTATCACTCTCTTCAAGAAGACAGCTTTACATTTATGTACTAGATGTTGCAATTCCATGACCTTTTAATGATATTGTAATTCATTGCACCCAGGTGAGCAATGATATTGATTACAAAATATTTCTTTCTGTTTTGTGTTGTACTTGTGGTATATACTTGAACATTTTTGTTTATTCAGTATTACCGGTCCATGTCAGTATTCAGTGAGCACACTGTCCTCCCATCATGCATCACAAGGGCACATAACTCTAGCAATATGAACAGGAACAGGGCCCCTTGAAACGTAAAATAACTTTCAATCAAACTATCAAAACAAATATACTTGTTTCAAGTACATCACAATAAACAGATTTTTATAAACGTATGGTTAAAAATTTATTTTGATAAACATTCGAAATAATTATTTAATTCTTTGTTTTTTTCAATACACACTCAATGTGTTGCAACAGACAAGCTATGGCTTTATGCTTGTAAAACAAGCTGAATTCATTTAGAACTGCCTACAGGTAGTTCAAACTTGCGTGATGTGGGAAGGGAGGTAACTCTTGGACTCGTCCTTGCTTCCATTTCACTGGTCTGAACACTGACCTATCACAACCAAAGGATTGAAACAATGGCCCTGACAAGTCAGAAGGTGTCCTCAACGAATACTGAATCGGAACATTTGCAATTAAAGATGCAATGTTAGGTGGCCCATTTCTACGCAGTTTTTACATGTTATCTGCACGATTTGTAGTTCAGAGCTCCCTTTTGTATGTTTTCCTCACCAAATTTTACTTGTTACTGTTCTGTTACAAATAAAATGTTTATGTCACACAACTAGCTTCACTGTTTTATTTATTACAGGAGCCATGTCAATGGAGACCACGTCGAAACAAATACTGTGATTTTATGACCCTATTACAAGCTTAGGGTCTGGGTGTGGTGTGAGTGAGTTGGGTTTAACCCAGCTTTTAACAGTATTCCAGTTATATCACGCTGTCAGCTTAATGTGGGAGGAAAGCCCCAAGTGATGCACGTCTCAGATGTTTACCACTTCGGTGTAACCCACGAGCACAGGTATGGTACTGACAAACCTAGAAACATAATCGGGGCAAACCGGGATTCGAACCCACACTCATAGGTTTCTGGCGTGTCCAAGGGATGCGACTCTGCACAGCAATTCGCGGCGCCTTAGACGACTGGGCCACCCGTGCCCCCCTGGGTGTGGTTGTACAAAACAACCTTAGCGCTACGACTGACTTAAGTCTATGTTAACGTATGGGAGTTACGATCACCTTAGCGCTAAAATCACTTTGTACAACGACACCCTGGACATTTATTACAGGGGGTGGGTGTTTTTGCAAACCCCCTCTTTCACGTCTTTGGTTACCATGATGTCACAATCAAATGACCTCACCAATGGCTCTGCTACTGAAGTTGTTAGCAGTACTTTGTTCCCTTAGACACTGCTTATTAGTGTCTACAAACTGAAAAGGTTGGAAGAATGATGTTGGATGCTAAATTATATCTCACCCTTGCATCTTTTGATATCAAATATATCAACACTCGTTGATCAAAGTGGAAAAACTCCTCAGCAAGCCTTAGTTTTCCACTTTTATCAACTCATATTGATATATTTGATATCAAGACACTTGCGTGAGATCCTCTGTTTATTCATGTTTGACAAAGGTGCTGACCATCAGGTCAGTTGTGAGTGAGTGAGTGAGTTGGGTTTAAAGCCGCTTTTAACAGTATTTCAGTTATATCACTGCGTGTCAGCTTAATGTGGGAGGAAAGCCCGAAGTGATGCAGGTCACAGACGTTTACCATTTCGGTTAAACCAACGAGCACAGGTATGGTGCTGACAAACCTAGAAACAAAATCGGGGTGAACCGGGATTCGAACCCACAATAATAGGTTTCTGGCGTGCCCAAGGGACGCAACTCTGCACAGCGAATCGCAGCCTAAGACGACTGGGCTACCCGTGCCCCCACCATCAGGTCAAACCCCGGAAAACACTCCGTGTGTGACAGCTGGATCAATGTCCGATGCTGCTAGAACACACAGTTCACACCATAGCCAGACACTGGGGATCTAATTTTGTTTGTTCAGTATATAACAGGTGTATCATCCAGCAACATCCCTGTCAACAGTTGAGTAGTATATCTTCCACACTCGGCAGCCATTATGCCGACCCTAACCCCAGCCATGGTTGACGACCAGGAGAGGGTGCAGGCACTTTTTCTAAACTAGAAAACAGAAAGTGTCAACAATCTGGAGGATCAGCTACTCCCTGGAATCTGTACAGGAGGTGATATATCCCCATGGTCTGGCGCTACTTATACCCCACTTTTGGTTCATTGACATCTGATACCTTCAGTTCAGGGAAGAAAAAGTTAATGCTGTTCAGTATTTTTCAAAATCCCAAATCATCAATAGGCACCAGTTTACCAACAGACTGATCTGTATAGCAAGTCTCATCCAAACATATTCAACGGTTTTGGAGTTCTGCTCCACAAACGAGGACTACCCTCATTTTCAGCAAAGTCCAACTTGTCGTCATGACAACATAAAAAATATAAAAAATAAACATGCCAAATCATCAAAAGACATCAGTTTACAACTTAAAAGACTGAACTGTATCGCAAGTTTCATCTTGAAATACAATGTATTCCATGGTTTTGGAGTTCTGATCGGAAATAAGCACAACCCACAATTTCAGTAAAGTCCAATTTGTCATGAAAAAAGAAGAAGAAATAGATAAAAAATCTCAAACCATCAAATTCAGGAGTTCCCCACTACACTGATCTGTATAGAAAGTTTCAACAAGACATATTTAATGGTTTTGGAGTTCTGCTCCAGAACAGAAAATGGACGGCTGACGGACGGACATGGTGATCGCTATATCCCCGTTTTACGTCTGGGTGATAAGTGTGAGTGAAAGGAACTGGAGGTTGGAAACGGTTATTTGAATGTAAAATCTAGCTCCAAACACATAGCTCAGGTGGTATATTCCCATGGAGTTGAGAAAGAAATCGGACTGATCACTGATCCATTGATCAAGGTATAAATGTAGTCCAATAACCAGCCTGAGGGTGTGAGAGTTGAAGCAATCTCATTAAAATCAGATGTTAGTTCTCACTACGGCTAAACAAAGATCTGAGGACATCCCATTACGAGTCACGTCAGACCGACCTTGTGCGAACTTTAACCGACCAATGGAATGACCAATTAGAAGGCAGCTTTCTTGTGCTTTATGGCACTGATTTCAAATTGGCGACTACGCTTCGAAACATATTTTGACAAATTCTCGATTACAAATTTGAAACCTCAACAAAAAAACATTCTGGAATGGCTAACAGATGGTCCAGATTGTATGGATTCAGTCGTTAAACCCGTAACAATTGTTCGGAATACCCTGTGTTAAAGTTTTCGAGGTTGCATGATTAGAAATCACATTCCAACTGTCACTTTAATAATCTGGTAAGCGACACTCTGATTGGTCGGATGAAAGGTTTTTCTGACGTGACCCCTAATTGGATGTCTTCAGATCTTTGTTTAGCGGTAGGGAGAACTAAGGTCTGATTTTAATGAGATTGGTGTTGAAGGTATGTTGCATCGGCAATATCCCGGTCATACAGTGATGGGAGCAAAGCAAGCATTCCTTCAATGCATGCATATCCACACAGCAAGGCGAATATCACAAATGCACCACAAAACAACCATACTAAAAAAAGGCATAGCATTTATTAAATTATGAATTTATATGGCACACTTTCCAATTTTGTAACTGCTCAAATGCACTTGGACTATGACAGATCCATGCATTACCCCAGTCACGGATTAGTGTGTACTCAGTTTACATTCTCAGCTTCCTAAGGAGATCTGGTGCAATATTTGCAGGGTTCTACTATGTTTGATCACATACAATCAGCCTTTCCAACCTGACTGTTAGCCTAGTTACATCTTGTCTTAATTCAAATCAACTTGCCGTGAGTGAGTATGGTTTTACGCTGCTTTTAGCAATATTACAGCAATATCACGGCGGGGAACACCAGAAATGGGCTTCACACATTGTACCCATGTGGGGAATCAAACCCGGGTCTTCGGCGTGACGAGTGAACACTTTAACCACTAGGCTACCCACCGCCCCTCAACTTGTAGTGAAACCCATGGTCATGGAATGGTGAATTTCCTCATTCAGTGGCAGGCAAGCCAAGCTGGTGCCAGGAACTGTTAAAAAATAAAAGAACTGAGCAAGTGGCTATTCAGAAGCTCGTTTATCAAAGTCTCATAAAAAACGGTCATGTCAATCATGTAAAATACATGTAAGATTATATGACTGATAACTTTGTGAGATACTTTTTAAGCAAGTCCATAGCTTTTCCACGATGGGATATAGTGTGTTTCACTGATTTGTCCATTTCTGCGTATGTCTTGTCAAAACCATCTGGCTGGAAACACGGATCCCATCCGAAATCTGTCGGGCCGCGTGGAGCCACAATGGAACCAGGGCACCTCCCGTCAAATATCTGAATGTCCGAACCTTCCTCCCCAGACGAGTATGCGAATACACACTGTGCATATCCTGTCTTGTCCTCGAACCCAGCAAGCATTTTGTGCAGACCTGAAAAATACAAAGAAGATCATTGTAAGGGTGGAGACAGTTGAAAGGCATTAACACAAACACGACATCTAAAGGGTTCCACAAAACAGAGCAATTTACCCCTGCATTGTATTTTTAAATTATTTTCTTAAATGGAACCGTTTACTTTGCAGCAAAGGAGAAGCAGAGCATGTCTTATGGAAGACATCTTCCTGAGGCAAGAGAATTAACTGACTATAAATGTATAGTTTCCACCCTTGCTGAGCAAGGCTAGTATTATGGAGTTACATTTTGGACTAAAGAGTCTATGCATAGTTTAATCAAAAGTACGCAACGAACTTGAAATCCGGTTCATAAACTGTCATGCAGATTTCGGTTGATTGCAGGATTTGCAAAGCATGTGCACCGCCAACTTGTTGCCCACAGATAATTGCCAAGTCTTGTCCTGTTTTTGATCAAGGTGCTCATGTGATCTAATGCACTTCTCAATGTAAGACCCGTTTTATCACAATATAGATCTTGATTATCGATTAGATCGTCTTGACTGGGCACCACCATTTTGTTTGAAGCAAATGCATGTGATATGAGAGGTGGAATCTGATTGGTCCACAGGAGAGGCACAGAACTTGACCTTTTAAGTCAGTTAACTCTCTTGCCTCGGGAAGATGTATGGAAGAGTGTGGCAAGTGGTTTTGGAGATATTTTGAAGTACAGCACTAGTTGACTCACAACGGACAAACACTTCTGAATAACCTGAGGATGCACATACTCTATCCTTGACATCATAAACTCTCCTATCATCCATCACCTGTTGGTCCCACACTCTTCAGGAACCACTTCACATACGGTCCAGGGAGACCTCCAAGAGCATTAAAACAAAGACTTGTATCCTCCACAATGACCGGTCCCTTAATGTGCTCCGCTGCAAGCTTACACTTAGCACGGGCGATTTCCTCCGGGGTTCCTTGATACTCAGGCAAGTCGATGTCCTGACTTGTCACCTGAAAGAGGAAGACCGTCATGGTAAGAATGAGTTTGGTTTTATGCTATTTTGAACAATTTCAAGAAAACTAGTTACTGCTAATCAAGCTGATGATCACCTGCCGTCTCATACAGGATGCGAGGCGGTCGGGTAGCCTAATGGTTAAAGCGTTCGCTCGTCACGCCGAAGACCCGGGGTTCGATTCCTGACATGGGTACAATGTGTGAAGCCCATTTCTGGTGTCCACCGCCGTGATATTGCTGAAATAATGCTAAAAGCGGCGTAAAACCATACTCACTCACTCACTCATACAGGATGCTTACCTTGTGTGGAAAGTCTGGCCCCAGGATTTGAACAACTTCTTCCAGTTTCTTTTTGTTCCCAGTGACGAGGACGATCTGTCTGGCCATCTTCTTCATCCACGCACACTGAGGACAACACCAACAACTCACTCAAGTCTTTGAAAGGCATTTAGAAGTGATACAGATAAGGAAGAGAATTTGTGGATGTCAACTTCTTTATTATGAGGAACACAATGTTTCGATGTGTACACTTACTCCTTCATATGATCAGAGAGTGAGTGAGTGAGTGAGTGTGGTTTTACGCTGCTTTTAGCAATATTCCAGCAATATCACGGCGGGGGACACCAGATATGGGCTTCACACATTGTACCCATGTGGGGAATCGAACCCGGGTCTTCGGCGTGACGAGCGAACGCTTTAACCACTAGGCTACCCGACCGCCCCATATGATTAGAGAAAATATGTGTGTTTCTAATAGGGCTGGGACGAGTCCAAATTTACTACTCGGGTACCCACCCCCCTATTCCCCGACCCTACCTGGGTACCCGCTGTAGGTCTCAAGAGGTAGGTACAAACTGTCCGATTGGGAAAGGTTTGACCGTAGCTCTGGTAAAATGTGTTTAGATACATGTATGAAACGATCTGATGTATATACTGAAGTTGACGGAAGTTTTATTTTTATTCAAACATATAAAAGTCAGAAGGAATTGGCGTAGTAGAAATGTGAACATTAGTGACTTGTAGTTTAATCATAAGAGTTTTAGATACTTTTTGTCATTAAACAATATATCAAGTGACTAACCACGTGTCCGGGTAGTCCTGTGGGTACCCGGGTCCTCCTCAGTACCCACCCGACCCGAGTTACCCGTCCAAGCCCAAGTTTCTAAGCGTCCGAAAACCCATAACACGGGGATAGATCCAAGGATACTTTGTCCAGGCCGGTCAAATCAGCTGTTGGCATGTCGGTGCACGCTTCCCTTAGCGCGGGAACGTCGATTATTAACCACATCATAATTATACTTGTTTAGTCTACGAGTTCATGGTAAATGTTGTCTACGAGTTCATGGTAAATGTTGTCTACGAGTAGGGAGTATGTACAAATTCTCCATGGCTACGAATTCACCTTCATTAATTGTGGAAACTAAAAGTGACATAGCATTTGTTTCAGGTCGTTGCAGTACACTAACGATGACCGATCTTAGGAGAAAATATACTTGTATCGTACCCTGTTAACTTTTGTAGGCTCCTACTATGTTCTTCGGAAAGACACGTAGCCAGCACGTCGAACATCCGTGTTTACGTTTCCCGCAAAATGATCTGCCCTTAGTGGAGTGGGTAGTGAAAACGTTTCGTATTTTGTGAAACAACATGTCATTGTTATTCTGACGGGTTTACTGAAATATTGCTATATTATACGACTAACATAGTAATTAATCTTTCCAAACGATATTGCAAGAAAAAGATATGAAAATCACATGAAAGGTAATAGCTTTGTATGGCTACAACCATCTTCCGGTGAGAAAATGTTTCGTATGCGAAGAGAAGGCTTGCAATAATAAATATTTTTCCATCACATATTCATGCACGATGTCCCGCCACAGGGCTGTGCGTGGCATGAACCTAGATGATGGTAAGTATCAATAGAGAAGGATGGCGTGCCCCTGTAATTCGATCTGACGATTCCAAACATGCTGGATCCGATAGAAAGGAACTTTCCGCGCCAGTGTCATCAGATGATGTTTTCTTCATATTTCATCATCTAAAGAGAAATCTGTAGGGAGAAAACTACGTTTGCCGTGTCAAATTCGTCACGATACAACACATGGATCTAACTCAGCAGCGTTATAGACGTGGAATGTGGTGAAAGATCAATTGAAATTCAGCCTTTAAATAGCACGCAGGCTTAATCGTACTGATCAACAATAAAAAAATGTTATTGCGATATGAACAATGTAGAACACTTTATGGACGCTCTTCCCTGTGTGACATACAGTATTACATTAAAAATACCTATCCTTATTGATTTTAAAGACATCATATGAAGGGATCTCAATCCTGGACGGTTGTAAACATGGTAAAGGAATGAATAAAGCAACATAAATCTCAGTCGGTTTAGAATGTGCAGCAGCTACGACAGTGGGATCAGTGCAACATGGAACAATGGCTGTTTGTACAGAAGTGTCGTATCATATTGTAGAGAGTGCTGTTTCTGATAAACTGCACTTTTGTGCTATAATGACTCAAAACCTCCGATAATTGTTTAGTGTGATAAACATAGGTAATGATTCAGGGCAAGATTATACACTTTCCAAATTTATAAACTAATATCCCACTATATGTGAATTGACAGTTCATAATAAGTCCTCACAAACATGATAAAATTGGGCTTCGTAGACCTTTGTGACCTGCTGGAGTAGGCCTCCTACACTCAAAGTCAGTGGTAGAAACTAACAGTGTCAGTCCACTAGTCCTTACTCTATGATGTTAACATATAGAAAAAAACCTAAAATGTCTATTTTCTACTAGTCCTTGTGATACCTTAACTATTAGGCAGTTTGGCAAGGACTACAGTACTAGTGCCAATTTCTAATGCGGATAATACTGTCAGACCGCTTACAAATGCACATAAATCATGTTAATACAAATATATTTTATCACTCATGGAGCATTGTGTAATTGATCTATTAAACCCTCTCACCACATCTGAAACTGTCTTTTCAGGTGGACTGTGTGATTAAGGCCATGATATTTTATCATCTGGTTAATTATGAGTTATGTTTTAGAAATTCAATTATTATGTCATTTCCTGATATACTGGTATAACTTGTACATACATATACTTGAAGTCAGTGGTGGGAATCATCATAATGCTAGGTACTGTTCCCGTCGTCCTTAGCATGCTTATCTGCAAAACTACAAGCAAAAGATGTCAGCTTATATAATTTGATGAAATTCATTACCTTAACGTTAAAAACTTAATTGTTATGAAACCTTGTTTGTGAGGACCCCATTTCCCTGAAAGCGCCTCAGTCTGGCCGTGTTCTGTTAGGAACATTTATATGTATGGTTAGATTCATTCATCCAGGATTTGTTAGTCTGCTTGATTTCACTGGGAATGGTACTGTCTGGATGAATGGGTTCCTCTGGATGTTACCAATCGTGCTTAAGTTCATGTGACACATGAAGCCGTCTTGAAGCCTTCTACCATGTCTACAACTGTACTCTTTGTACATGTAATCATTACCAGCAGTATTCCAATTTAAGTATGAAAGCTAAAATGTCTTGTGTTATCCCGAAGGATTTAGGGGTGTCTTGATTCAAACGCCATGGAAGACCTGAACATGCTGAAGGTCCCCAGGACCACTTTCATATCAGACACTGGTTACATAGAATCTGATCTGTGTGTGAGTTAGGAACTAAATGGAGGCAAGTTGTGGAGAAATGTTATGTCTTCTTTGTAGGAATGCTGTTTGGGTTAGCATGGGTAATGATGCACTCAGTAATGTTGAAGTTGTACATGCAGGACTATGTTGTGTTTTGCAGAGTACGATGATGATGACGAGTACTATGGCCAGTCTGTGGAGGACAACTTCTGTATCTCCCCAGGGACAGGTAGGGTGCCTTTTGTCCTGTGGTAGCAGCCCTCTAAGTTCGTTTTTTTGTTAGGGAACCAAGTGGCTCTTAACATGAACACTTTAGGAGCCAAACCTGAGTTTTTAGGAGCCTCCAGATATCTTAAACAGATATTTTTGCCAGTTACCGTACTTTTAGGGAGCCAAGTGGCGAGCAGTAGATAAATCTAGGTTGCCAATCATAGATTTAAGTCACATTTGTCCACCAAAATGGTAGCTACTTAGAGGACTGGGTAGAGATCCGTGAAGATGCGGGGTAGAAAAGGTTTTCAGCATCCCATACTTGTACCCCATGAAGAACAGGATCGGGTGATCAGGCTCACTGACTTAGTGGATGTGTGTCATCGTATCTCAATTGCATGGATCCATGCTCATGATATCAATCACTGAATTTTCTGATCCAGACTCGATTGTTTACAGACCGCCATCATATAGCTGGATTATTTTCACTACTATTTAGTGTTTGGTGTAACAGCCATGGAAGCAAACATTTAAGGTATGAATCAATACTTTTTACCTAGTGTGTGACTGTGATGGATACTTGAATCAGGAAGTAAAATATCACAATCCACCGATGCATGGGTGTATTGTCCCATCGCTTGTTAAGACTGACCAGAGTAGTCCTGTTTCAGCTGCTCAGTTCACATTCAACCGCGGCCAGACCACGTTTGCCACGTACATGGGCGGAGATGATGAGGTGGAGGGGGTGGAGAGTGACGACGACACTGGCCACCAGGGGGCGTCATCAGGACAGACAGACAAGAAACTGAATGATGTTGATCGAGGTAAAGTTTAAACTCACCAGGCAGAATGGAATTTACCCATGAATAGCCAGCTTAGAATTGATTTTCAGCAAATTATGCTTGGCATAAGGCAGGGTATTTTCCACATGACTGACTGGCTAGCAGAAATACTTGCCAGCCCTGACCAAAACCTGCCAGCCCACTATAATCATGTTTCTCAGGATAATTTAATTAAAACTTTAAATCGAATTCATGGAACATGAAGTAATACAAGAAAAGAAATAGCAAACACTTTTTAGGTCAGATTTGTATTTAATATCCTAGAATACATCATGTAAATACAGTGGTCCCTCGCTACAACGCTACCAATGGGGTCCAAATAATTGGTGGGCGTTATAGACGATGAGCCGTTTAACCGAGGCCGAGGCGGGGGAGCGCGCTCGGCAAATCTCAAATCATCAATATGTGTTTATCTCACGTCACGTCAAAATAGTAAATATTTTTATGGACCTAGATCTACCTGTAATATCATCCATTTATTAAATCTGTCACATTTCACAATGTCTGAAATACGTATTCCATTCTAATTTATCATTTTTTATCAATAAATCAAAAAATTATTCACTATTTCCCGCGATGTTATTGAAAATAAAATTCTCGGACACACATTTCGACAACGGGTCCGCATCGAACATGTCAAAGAGCAAAATAAAGACTATTTTAAGCAAATCTTTAAATATATTATACAAAGTGATAAATAAAATCAACAAAAATATATCTAAAAGTAATCAAACTTACATCTAAGTTATTATTTCCATCGTTTCGTGCGATCGCGTGTAATGTAAGTCAAATGACATCTCGGCTTTCGTCGCCTTGAATTCTCGGCTCGGACACAACGTTTAAAGCAAAAATATATGCATGAAAAATCTTTGTCACAGCTCGTAACCTAGCACGATACATTTGCGAAGTTCCATATTTTTAATATATATCGTGATTTCCTCCTTAAAACGTTCAGAATAACACGATTTAACAAAAAATCTTTCGCTAACTTCTGAAATTTATCAAACACGAGCTTGGTATCACAGCTATAATTTGATTGGCTGCCTGAGGTCACATGCTCAAAATTGACCAATCACGAAACTTGTAGCAGATTTCGGCAAGAAAACGTCATTAGAAACAAATTTTAATCCAATGAAATCGCTTGTTATAACTACGGAAAAAAACCAGGCGATGTTACGAAAGCGCGATTACGAAATGAATGACCGCCGTGTTGTGACAGCAGCTACATGTGTGTGACAGTTTAGCCTTAAATTGGATTGCCCACTAATTAAGAATATAAACTTCGCTTGTGGTTCTGTTTTATTGCATGCATGCGCTTCTAAGATCAAAGGATGTATAGTGTGAAAAGTTAACTAGTTGAACAATCGTATTTCCGGGACTTGCCGCGGATGTTTTCAAACAGATTATTAGAACTCCATTCAGCGATAAACGGTTGATTATGCAATGAGAAGAGTTATGTGCAAATGAACAACGAACAACAATACAATTATGTCTGTGTAAAACTATCAGTAATAAAAGTGTACATAAATTTGGGGAGCCATGTGTTACCGCGCGTAGTAACCGAGGTAGCGCTTTATCGAAGAGCGCAATAGCGAGCGATCACTGTAATGCTTATCATCAAGAAATGTTTAGAATATTTTTACATATGAAATATAACCCGACCGTCGAGCAGGGGGATTTGAAAATCTGGCAGCCCAATGTGAAATCAACCCGTCTCGGACGGTCGGGCAGGCAGGTATTTCGAACACTGCATAAGGCGACTAACAGGACCGGGTGGTCAGGCTTGGTGACTTGGTTGATCATGTCATCATATCCCAATTGTGTGATATCAATCACTGAAAAGAGTCTCCTCAAGACTTGATTATTTACAGACCGCCATATGATAGCTGGAATATTGCTTGGTGCAGTGTTAAAAAAACACACAAATAAAACAGAATTTGAAAGTAAATTAGTTTGGATGCAAAATAATGTTTCACTTGAAGCAAACGACATTCAGTAATGTACATGGTAGGTAGAAGACTCACAAGGAACGTATTCCCATGATTGCTATGTATTAAATACCCTTACACTACTACCAGACAATGCAGTACATGAAGAATGTCTATTCAAGAACGTCCTAGGGATGAAATGTAGGGTGTTTTCTGGGATTTCCTGTGTAACATGCAGCCTTTCAAACACTGTTCTCCCATTTAATGGAAGTAATCATGGATTTACTCCGCAGTTCAAGGAGTGGACATAGATCTTCATAGATATTTTATTTTGGAACAGCTAAACTAAACAGCTGTTTGGAGGAGGTCCATAACATACTGGGGGAGTCTCGCCCTGACTCAGTGTACACGGAGATCATCATCAAACACAAGTTCAACCTGCAGGCTTCGCTGGATGAGCTGCTGTCAAAGAAAGGTGGGGTTACCTGTCATAGCAAGGTGGGGGTTTACCTGTCACAGCAAGGTGGGGGTTTACCTGTCACAGCAAGGTGGGGGTTTACCTGTCACAGCAAGGTGGGGGTTTACCTGTCACAGTGAGGTGGGGGTTTACCTGTCACAGAAAGGTAGGGGTTTACCTGTCACAGAAACGTAGGGGTTTACCTGTCACAGAAAGGTGGGGGGTTACCTGTCACAGAAAGGTAGGGGTTTACCTGTCACAGAAAGGGGGGTGTTACCTGTCACAGAAACGTAGGGGTTGACCTGTCACAGAAAGGTGGGGGGTTACCTGTCACAGAAAGGTGGGGGGTTACCTGTCACAGAAAGGTAGGGGTTTACCTGTCACAGAAAGGGGGGTGTTACCTGTCACAGAAAGGTGGGGCTCATTCACCTGACACAGAAAGGTGGGGTTTACCTGTCACAGAAAGGTGGGGGTTTACCTGTCACAGCAAGGTGGGGGTTTACCTGTCACAGCAAGGTGGGGGTTTACCTGTCACAGCAAGGTGGGGGTTTACCTGTCACAGCAAGGTGGGGGTTTACCTGACACAGCAAGGTTGGGGTTTACCTGTCACAGGGAGGTGGGGGTTTGCCTGTCACAGCGAGGTGGGGCTCATTCACCTGACACAGAAAGGTGGGGTTTACCTGTCACAGCAAGGTGGGGGTTTACCTGTCACAGCAAGGTGGGGTTTACCTGTCACAGCAAGGTGGGGGTTTACCTGACACAGCAAGGTTGGGGTTTACCTGTCACAGGGAGGTGGGGGTTTGCCTGACACAGCGAGGTGGGGGTTTACCTGACACAGCAAGGTGGGGGTTTACCTGTCACAGCAAGGTGGGGTTTACCTGTCACAGCAAGGTGGGGGTTTACCTGACACAGCAAGGTTGGGGTTTACCTGTCACAGGGAGGTGGGGGTTTGCCTGACACAGCAAGGTTGGGGTTTACCTGTCACAGCGAGGTGGGGGTTTACCTGACACAGCAAGGTGGCTATGTTCACATAATTGTTACTAAGTATGAATATTGATGTGGTTGGTAACAACCAAGCATCCATCACCTGATTTCTTGACAAGAAATATATAGGTCCTGTATTTAAAGTAATTATCAAATCTACAGTAAAGAACAGTATGCTACACAAGTTAAATACTTTACAGGATCGTAATATTTTCTGTATGGACCCTTGAAAGTAATTATGTGTGAGACCCCTGGACCTCCAGTTTTGTTGGTCAAAGTAAAACCCTGAATGTGTGACGCCCATTTTTGATATTCCTTATTTTATATGTTAGGAATAATATAGGAATTCCACACAAGCGCCGATACCAAGCCACTAATTTTGAATTTACATTTTATGCATATTGCATTCATTTTCCTGGGTCTTTTCAGAAGCACCCAAGCCTCAGAGAGCACCACGACAAAATCGACGGAACAAATCTCAAGGTAATTTGGAGGCACATTGTTGATGTTTCCTGGACTTAAATACTCAGTGTTACAACTCAAATTTTTGAAAAATTTTGATACTGTGTTAAGCAAGTGAATAACCATCAACAGGATTGAAACTGTTCATTGATTTCTGTTGATAAAATGTTAATTTTAAACTTATCCTATCTCACACTATGCATTTCTTCCTTCTTTCGATCCCATGTGGAACAAAGTTTCCAGCTTCTAAAAACAATTCACCCAAGCACCGTAACAAATGGATCACACACTTTAACCTGTGAATAGCGACCTACACGATATGATCACGTGATTGCCTCTGCCGCATCATTTCCCCATCATGTTGCCATAACTTTTCCAAATCTGACCCTAACAAATTTTGTAGTTTGGACAAATGCTGCTCTGAATGTGAACAGAAGAGTCCTTTATTGTCTATATACACAACTGTAAGAGGAGGGAGATTGATTGGCGCTCTCAGTCACAAGATTTGGACAAGCCTAAACCTTCGTCTGCCAAAAGGCCTAAGAAATCATTCAAGACGGCCTTTTTAGACAGGTGTCCCCTCTGTTGCTGTCCAACCACCTTTGGATTCTGCCTTGCCTGTGCTCTCGGTAGCCTATAATGGGGTGGGTGTCAGATAGTCCCAGAACAGTCAGTCCTCAAGAGTTGCCGTTCCAGGAAAAGTTGCTTTTACGGTCACGGCAACTCCACCTGTGACGTCCATGCCATCTCGTCGCCTGTATCTGGCCAGCCAGCTTAAAGTGCTCAAGGAGATGATCGGTATGTATCTTGCAAAACACACTACAGAGTGTCTATGTCCCATACCTGAGACTCCTGGAGTTCACTCAATGAAAGCCTGTCTGAAGCTCTGCCTCAACTTCTTCAACATTAAGATCTTGCATTGTATCTAGCAAATCCACCACATCTCTGTATGATGCTTCTCTGTATGATCATTCGTCCCAGCGATTTCATGGTTAGCCTTAACCTTCAAGATACATACCTGCACGTTCCCATCAACCGGGAGCTCCGCCATTTCCTTCAGTTTATTTCCAAGGCCTCCACTACCAATGGAAGGTGCTCCCGTTTGGAATTTCCTCGGCCCCTTGGCTCTTGACCCATACTACTGAGCCCATCACGCAGTTCCTGCACATCTGAGGGATCATGTTCGAGTCCTATATAGACGACTGCTTTCAGGCTAATGCAGACCCAGACGTCCTCATGCATCATTTTGAGTGTATGCAAAGGCTTCTCCATCAAATCGGGTGGCTTGTCAAGATAGGCTAGTCAGGGACGACCCTCATCAGGCCCTTTTGAAAACACGCCTCAGCAAGAAGTTCATTCTACGGACTGGTTGCTGAAGATGTAGCGTCTCCGACAGCTGCTCTTACATCCTTGCTAACAGGCCTTCTGACATCGGCGTCCTTTTGACCAACTTGGAGTTGGTGCACCTCATTGGTCCAACTCGCAGAAAGAAGATTCTACCTACGTGATGACCTTCCCCTTCAGCCTCACTCTGAGCTGCTCAAGCCATCGTCTAAAACCCTCCATCTTTGTGTTTGGTGCGTCTCCAGAGGTCACTCATCGACAAGAGGTATTCCAAGAGAGTAGCAAAGACCATCATGGAAGCTCACCATTCCTCTGCTAAGATCCTCTATGTCAACAAATGGAAAATGTTTGATGCCTACTGTCGCGTCATGACATCGCCACTTCCCCCACCTATTCTCCGCAACAGATCGCTGATTACCTCCCATCATTTACCAGGAAACTTAAAGGGTCAACTTTGGCTGCTTTTCTTGCTGCGATCAACTCAGTCATTGCAACTACAACTGGATCAGAGATATCTCTGTTGCTAAGCTTCAGTCCCTAAGTTTGTCCTACAAGTTGGTGGACTAGTCATTTCGTTTCTGGACGCCTTCTTGGGAGAATATGAATGCTTGCTGACAATCCTTTGGAGTTGATCACCTTCAAGACCTTCCTCCTGGCCCTTGCAACTGCGGCATGAGTTAGTGTGTTGGATGCTCTGGATGTTAACAGGGTCCAGTTCAAGAGCTTAGAGAATGGGAAGGCTTCTCTGTGACTATGATGGACTTTTATCGCAAAAAAATCTGCTTCCAGGCCAACCAGATCGTTTGTCTACCATCCTGTTGCTGACGTAAATCCTGAGTTCATCCGACCGTTCAGACATTTCTTTGTGTCCGGTTCGAGCGCTTCGGGTCTACCTTGAGGCTGCACAACCACTTTGTCGCTCCCGAGACTCTTCATTTCACTTACCACGGCGGCCCCAACGGAAGTTTCCCGTACTATGATTTTATTTTGGCTTCGCTTGACCATCCCACAGGCCTATATCCCACCTGTCATATCAATCCTCACGAGTTTCGGGCAGTCGCTTCTACCATGGCCCTACATAGCAACAGTTCTCTCTCCGCTATTATAAGAAGGCTGCTTCTGGAAGCTTTGCCTCGCACTACCTCTGTGACATCTCTGTTACTGACGTCCAGTGTTTTCACTAATTCGGGCCCTTGGTCCTGGCTCAGCAGCCGATGACTGCACAACAGCGCAGATGGTAGACATGCGTACCCGCTCCGGGTTTTTCATACTACAAATCATGTATATACCAAATAAATCCTGGAACTTTGCATCCTGTGTTTATTGTGTTTAATTATTTGTGTTCCCAGACTGGAGGGTGGATTAATTGATGTGGCCATTTTGACGGTGTCCTGAATCCTTAACCCGCTCACGGCTGATTTCTTCATGTGCCTGTTATTGATTTGAAGATCCTCTTGTGGATATTGTCGATCGTTCCTCTCCTTAGCATGCACTCTATTGTCCGTGAGAGATAGAGCAGTGTCCTATCTTTGCCAGAAAACCTCTTCCAGATCGATTATAAGTCGTACGTTGTATCAGTTATTTTTTACAGCCACATAGTCATTCATTCTACATGAAAACACGTCATGCGTGATCTGCCCGATCTGTTTAGCACCTTCTTCCCACCATCCAACCATGGGATGCATAATGTGAGATAGGATAAGTTTAAAATTTTGTAAATTTCACAGTGAATTGTACATTTATATACTTATCCAATCTCACATGCTATGTGCACTCCCAACCATCCCCGCGTCACAGCTCCTCTTGGCTATATGCTCTGCAAAGGAGAACGATGTGGCAGAGGCAATCACGTGATTGTGTCGTGTAGGTTGTTATGCACAGGATTTGTTCGGGTTGTAACCATGGTGATGCTGGGATGTGTTTTGGGTGAATTTTTATTAAAAGCTGGAAGCACATTTCCACATAGGTTTGAAAGAAGAAATGCACAGTGTGAGCTAGGATAAATATTATTAATGTATAATGTTTTTGTAAAATTTACAACTTTTGCTATAAATATTCATATTTGGGTGACAATATTGTCTAACCAGTGGCCTGTTGTTTTCTTCTTTCCATCTGCTGTTCCGTGTGTGTTTGGTGTCATCCATCTGCCTGTTTCTGTGTGACGATGTCTGGCGCTTGTAAGGTAAGGAGATAGTGATAGCGATGAAGCTAGTGACACAGGGTCTGACGTTAGGGTTCCAGACTCGGGGAGGGGGGAGGCTTCAGACGTACGGAGCGGGGAGGTTCCAGATCCGGGGAGCGGGGAGACCTCTGAAGAGACAAATCAGAGACACTGTCAAAAACAATCAAATCCATTGTCAGGCATTTCTTCAAAGGCTCACATTGTTGCTATTTCAGAATTACCCAAACCTGTTTCAAGTAAGGTAGGCATGTCACTGGCTGACCTTACAAAAGGTCATCAAGGTCAGTTGGGAATAAAGGCCAGTCAGGATTGGCTTAAGAATAATGTGTGCCTCAATTCTAACATTCCAAAGCTTTCAGGTCTAACCCAGGCATTAGGTAGTATGAAAGTTGATGAAGCTCATTTGACATCAGGTCATTGCTCTGAAGGAGCAGACACAGAACAATTTGATTGCAAACCCAATAAAACATCACTTCCTAAAGATCTTGCCTCTCAACAAAAGCTTAAAGGTAGAAGTCCAAAGTCCTCATTGAGTTCAAGTGCTGGATCAGACTCTGGTGTGTCATTATCTCAGCTAGCGTTAATGCATCAGCAGCAGAAACAGACCCAATTCAGCATCCAAGCTCCAAGGCCAAGCCCATCCTCAGGGGACTGTGCATCAGCTGAGGGCGTAGCCCTAGGGTCTTCAGTGTCAGCTGGAATCAACATCAGTCAGGCCAGCACACATTTCAAGGCCGTCACAGGAAGTCCCAAGTCTCAGAGCTCCAGTTTAGGTTCAGATTCACTGTCTCTGGCTGAACTGGCTTCCAGACACCAACAGACACATTCCAAGGGATTCAACTCTCCTTCATCGTCCTTGGCTGAACTTGCTAAACAACATTCTCCAACCAAAAGTGCAGGAGGACTTTCTCTGTCTGCTCTAGCTCAACAACACAATTCCTCTACAGTTCAGGGATCGGGGAGAGGGTTATCTTTACAGGCGCTAGTCTCTGGGAGCTCTACAGGATCACATGGTCTGAGCAATCTCACACCAGGCCTGTCTCTGGCTCAGTTGGCCAGCAGTCACAAGGCAGTACAAAGCACACTTGGACACGGCACTCTGCCTCCTGGAGGTGCTTCCATGAAGACTGGGAGTCAGCTGGTGGGTGTTTCTCTGGCAAATTTGGCCAAGTCTGAAGGAACGCTTTGCCTGTCAGATTTACTCAAATCCAAAGTGACCATCTCCGGATCTCGGCAGTTGTCTGCAGATAGAACTCCAAGTCCGGATGAGACCAGCAGTACCTGCTTCAGCCCAGTCCAAGATGAGATGACTCTGCTGGTCAAGGTCCAGACTGATGCCACCTTACTGTCCACACCATCCGTGCTCGGCAAAGCTTTGTGTTTACTGCAAACAAGGAAAAGAAAAGCTAGTGATTCTGATAACCACTGTTTGAAGTATCCAAGATTTACATATGCTGTCCAGGCCAAAGATGTCAGACATCATACTCCAGTACAT